CGGTGAAGTATAATTATTATTATTTTTTTTATTTAGCTCATAAAATTCATACAAGTTACCTGGCCAGAATATAATTTACATTGCTGGAATTCTTACAATATGATGATCATTTTGAATATAAACATCATGGATTTTGCATTAGACATACAAATTTTAGATCTAAAGTAATAATTTGGTTTACACAAAGCAAATATTTTATCTTTTGTGCAAAATATATGAAGTTTACATTCAAAATATTCCCTGACCTGCAAGGAATCCAGAAATGTCAATTATATTATCCTAACTTTAGTCTGAGGTATTATTTATTACTAAACGTTAAAATCTAGAGTTTTCACCCAAACATTAATCAGAGAGGTAGGAGCTAGTGAGCTGGGAAGAGGGGGGAGGGGGGATTTGAGTCCATTATTTGAATGGACATTAACCTGGCGACTGTATTTCTCTTAAATATTAATTGTGTGAGCATACCATCATAAAATTTAGATGTTATTTTTACTACAACATAGGTATTGTGTCGGAAAAAGTGGAGTTTGGGGGTCGGGCCAGTCTCTATTGGAATTAATCCCATATGTTCTGTTGTTCACTTTACGCGGTTTTCACTTTCCGCGGTACCCTGTGGGTTCAATTGACCGCGTAAATCGGGGTACTACTGTACTGTAAATTTAAAGTTTAACCCCATTCGTTTCGGCGGGCGTTCGTAAGTTGGGGACCCCCTGTACTGTAGTCACTTTTGTTTAAGTTGACTAAACAAGCCTAGCTCCCCCTTGCAGCTCATTGGATCATACATATACATTATTCGATTATTAATGATATATATAAAATAAATCCATATAATACTGTTAAGGCTACCCAGTTCTGGCTCACTTTAATGCTGATTTTAATGTCTGTAAAGATATAACTGCCTGAAAACATTAACTTTTAAGATGAGTGAAAAAAGTTTGAAATAAGGAATATTTACCGTCGAAGTCACAAAGAAATTAACGCTTTTGGACAACACATTTGCCACTTCTTCTCTTTTCACTAATTATTATGTACAGTATATCAAGACAGACGACACCAAATATATAAATAGAATCAAGTGTAAACTTCACATAGTCACGGAAAGGTGTCGTTTAAGACGGCAGCCAATCAGTCACTACCTGTTACATAGAATATAGATAATAGACATTTCAGTTATCAAGAAATTATAAATAATCTAGCTTGGCTCATTAATCAATTATCTTATTATTTATGATAAGCTAAACATTATGTCAGTGACTGATAATATACTGTACTGTTTAGAAAGGTGGTAGTATTGAACAGTATGTAAATTAGGTATCCACTAAATGAAGAAATCTAAATAAAAAAGTCAGGAAATAGCCTGGGCCTACTGTATGCTTCCACAAAAGTCATGAATAATTGCCCTGGACAAAGTTTGTGGTTTAAGGATTTGGAAGAAGCTGATGTTATAGAGAAGCTCGAGTCTCATGATGGTAATTGATACCCGGGGATGTTAGGAGGCTGACTTATTACCTCGTGGTTGTTGACCTAGTGATCCAGGGAAGGATTAATATGGATATTGCTAGTAATATACAGTGCACACACAAAAGTTTTATACAGGGCTGTACAATATTTGTGACAAAGGGAATCTTCGGTTGTGGCTAGGAATGTAAACCTCATTTACTATGGGAGCTTATCTTTGTGTACAGTATTGACCTTTTCTAGGAACATAGCCCCTGGTAAAAATGACAGCATCCTCTACCTCGGGGTTATTTTATTCAGACAATTTCTTGTCCAAGGTGTTTGGATACTGTGTTGTTTACTGTGTGTAAAGTGTACAGGGGGTTCCCGGGTTATGAACGGGTTTCGTTCCTGAGGATGTTCTTAAGTCGGAGCATATGCCACGTGTATACCATACTTACAGAACAATGTTTAAAATCCCACTATATCGTAGCCTGTACATCTAAAATCATTTAAGATGAAAGAAGAAATAGAATGGCAAAATACAGTAAATGAAAGTAAAAAATAAGTCATCAGGTTAATAAAATACTGTACTGTACTGTAAATTTCAAGTTTAACCCCGTGCGTATCTGCAGGTGTTTGTAAGTCGGGGACCCCCTGTATACTGTATATCTTAAGTATACCACTCGTCAAAGCAGTATAGTACTGTACTACCATTTTTTAATTGTCACTTCATTTGTGCAATCACTTGTTATATAGTATGGTGACAAAGCTTGATAATGAGGTAAGTGTGCATGCTTTAATTTTTTTGGCTTTTGTTCACGGAATTTAAGAGCCGCTCAGTAACTGAGTTATACAGTGCTCCAGGTATTTAGCACCATGAGATACAGGTACATGAAAGGAGAGCATAGACTAGTATGGATGATGATAGGAGTGGAATTGGAAGATTGATAATACAGTGCCTACATGTATATAAGATTTGGTTATGGTCTTATGGAGTAGAGATTGGACAAAGTGAGGATTGAGGATATTACAGTGAGATGTCTACATACACAGAGAAATGATAGAAAAGGTAAGGTTGGAGTTCTTTTGGTCAAAGTGTGAAAAGGATGGATGTTTCCAAGGGTGACGGTGGAGGGTAGGCTGAGGGAAAGATGTGGTGAGTGAGGTGGTGTCAGGAGGAGTGAATAGATTTGCATTACAGTTTTTATGCCTGGAATAGTGGGATGTTGTTAATTTTATTACAGTACCTCTCCCTGAAAAAAAAAAGGTGACAAGCTGAAAGACTAAGACATCTGATAGTATAAAGATGTCTTGGTAACATTTAGAGAGATGAGCTGTGGAAAATGTTCATTGTTTTAAATTTTTTGCCTTTGAAATTTCCTTAATTGCTCCTTTTTTTCTTTTCTATTTTAATTGGAGGGTTTACTGTTCTGTACTTTGTGGTATGATTAGCCTAATTTTCAAAGAAGCAGATGATTTACATTATCCCAGGAAGTCAAGATATTTTTTCCTTACTGCTCAGGTTGTGTAGAACTAATTGTGTTTTTGTCAATAAAGGACTTTCAAGACTAATGCTTTATGAAGGTTCTTAATGAACTGTACAACGCCTGCTTTCAGGATGTTGTTACCAAGGAAAGCCACTGACGGTAGTAGGAGGACGCGCATTTGTTTGGCCATGTATTCAGATGCTTCAAAGGTATTGATGGTACACCAATTCCTAGCAAGGGACAATGGGAGAGTCTGTGATCAAGGTGTAAAATGGACTCCTGGCACAAATTAGTTGAATGGGAGTTTGAAAAATATTTATAAAGTAGTATTAAGTTATGTTCATGTTTTGTCTGCTTCATGTTTTTTATCCTGTGAAGTTACTGTCACCGTTAGTTCAAGTAGATGAGCGGAATTTTGAGAGAAACCCTTGTACAGATTCTCCAAGGAGTTTCACCTGGTTTAGCACACCAAGTAACTGTCTGTAGTGCTTTGCCTACTTAATATTTATTCTTTTTCTGCAGTTCTGTTCTTCCCTTTCTTTGTCCTGGAATGTTCTTGCTGGCTTTTTTGGTTGTAGCTGCACTAGACTAACATGCATCCCGTCCACAAGGCACAAACTAGATGGCAAATAGTAGGTGTCGGTTCACTCTTGTAAAAAAAAAAAAATAACATCTCCATGAAGGGAAGCATCCAAACTATTCATGTCGGCATCTGCAACACAATTACTAACGCACACACACATGCCTGTCATTGTCTCTCTTAGGCCTAGTCTAGGAAGTGGCACATGTGTGTGTGTGTGTGTGTGTGAGATACAGGAAGTTGCCATATGCATATCTCTTTAGAAAGTTGACAAACTCTATTGGTTATCATGGGCTGAAAATGAGTGTTCTCTTTCATAGCCAAATTTGACCTATATTATTTACAGTCTAGTGAGGTTAGAGCCAATAGCCATTATTGAATGTTGCATTCTTCATTTAATATTACGTGTACAAGGACTCCCACAGTCGTGTTCCATGATGAGTATTGATAGTATCTCAACATGTAGTAGGACAGCTATGTACTGTTGTGTGGAATATTTCTTCTATATCTAACCTAATCTCAAATTATTTGATTATTGAGACTTCAAGCAGGGTTACAGTACACTTTTAATATTGTTTTTGTAAACGTTCATTATGTTTTTGTCCCAACAAATACCATAATCATGGTGTTTCATGTTTACAAACAATTCCAGAACCCTTCCCATAATACATCCTGTTCATATTTTTTATAATTTATCTTTTATATATTTTTTGTACTAATTAGTTGCTGATAGATTTTAAAATTATATTTTATTTCATAGTTCAGTTCATATGTTATATGTGCTCAAAGTTTGTTATGCTATGTATATGCATATAGTGCAAGTACAGCTCCTCCCTGACTTACGAGCTACTCGACTTACGACTGCCCGGACATACGACCGCGTCAGTCGTACCAAAATTTTGTCAAACTACGTATTTTCGAGTCCCAGTGTCAGTGATTGCGCTGTGTGCTGACAAAATTTTCGTTTGTAATTCACTTTAAAATGGCTGGCAAGCTTAAAAATTAGAGTTTTGTGGTGCTGAGAAGAAAAAGAGACACCCATTTTAGATTTCCATGTATTATTTAAGCATTTTTGACTTACGACCATTTCGACTTACGACCTGGATTTGGGTCCCTAACCCCGTCGTAAGTCGGGTAGGAGCTGTATACAGTACAGTATATATACTGTACCATACTGTATATACAATACTGTAGTATTTTTTGTTTATAATCCCCAAAACTTGGCTTTTATTTACTGTCTAATCCCACTTTGTGGAATGTATGTAATCTTTTTCATTATACCTGCCTAACCTTTCCTTAATCCAGTGGCCCTTCCCATCCTGCAATGAAACACCATGTGTGCGTACAGTGCATTGGTGTGCTACCGTGAAGGGGAACTTCCTTACCATTGTATGGGAACCTGCAGCAGCATTGCTTGACACACACACACACACTTGTTGTCATCCATGTTATGTGTTGTGTTGAGGAGTGACAGCTGTGTGTTTGTGTTACAGGATGTTGCCACAGAAAGCCTCTTTTGGTCCCTGGTGGACGAGCATTCGTTTGGCCCACTGTGCAGCAAGTACAGAGGTATATCATGAATGTCCAGTTATTTATTTATTTATTTTTTTATTTTATTACTAACCTTGCCTCCTAGTGTTTTTACAGAGTTGCATAGTTATACAGTACTGTAGTTTGTTTGTATCTACAGTAGTACTGTACAGTATTTAAACCTCATGCTGTAACACTGATTTAAGGTTTCAGTAAAGATGAGCGCTGGAATCTCACAGTATACATATTAAATGTTGTTAATTACTCTTTCACTTGTGCATCTGTACAGTGAGTTCTGCTATAACGCGTGTTTTGATAACGCGAATTTGCTCTAACGCGATTTATGAATTCGGAACAATATTTGTATAACGCGAACGCTTGTTTGCTATAACGCGATTTTTGCTTACTATTTCTCCAATTTTGTGGTATTAACTGTGAATATGGTAAAGAAGAATATCTCCAAAAGGCGTTCTGATGATAGAATTCCCGGTGATTATCGTAAAAGAAAGGATATAACACTTGAAGAGAAGCTCGATGTTATCAACCTCAAAATCACCCTTCTCCCCCATCAAGTTACATTCATATTTTTTCAAGGTAAAGTGTTAAATTTACTGTATGATTTCATTATTAGATATGAATGTAACATTTATTTAGACTGTGCTATCCTTTGTGTTAGGCTAACTACTAAATTTTTTCGATTTCGAGTAATCTGCACCTAACCCTATTTTCTCCATAAGCCCTGTTATTTCTATTACGCGATTTTCTATAACACGATATTTTACAAGAACACAATTATCGCGTTATAGCAGAACTACCTGTACTAACTTTCTTGACTTAGTAGTGTGACCAGGCAAGTTACTGATTGTTTTGACTAGTTTCTCAAGTGTTAATTATAGTCATTTCCATCTTTTATTATATGCCTTTAGAAACCCATCTCTATTTAGGAGCATTTATCTAAATAGATGATGAGTGTGCATAGCAGTTGATTATTGTTTTGTGAGCATTATTTTTAGAAGTTTAAATCTAGCTTTTTCTCCAGTAGAATTATTGACTATGGTCCATCCACCCCTGGCATTCATAACAATCTTAACTGTACCTAGAAGTTTGCTGGTTGCTAAGTCATTCCTGCTACCTCAATAGCAAATTCACAGCCATTTTGTTCTTATCAATGTCTGATACAATTTTGTTTTTGAAATTTTTTTACAAGGAAAAAGTAACATTGTTTAAAAAAAGAAAGAAAAAAGAAGTCCATGAATTTGCTCATTTCACAGTGAGACTCCCTTAGTAACGAGGAGCCAATCAACTGTTACAAATTCTAACAGTTGCTGAGCTTACTAGAAGTGGATGGAGCTTAGTTGCTAGGTCCCTGTGTGAGACTGAAAGGCAAAGTGGCCAGCAACTCCAAAGACATTGTGATGAGCCTCTTGCTGGGAGAGGTACAGTTTAAATTGTGAAATATAAAGTTTATAGTTTTTTCAGTGAAGATTTTTTGAATACCGAATAGAGTAAACAAGTACTGTACATTACAGGTACAGTACAGTATTTTAAATTTGATGAAATAAAATTGCAAACTTTAAAAAAATCTGGAAAATTTTATTTGAACTTTACTGTATTTTTATATACGAACTGTACATTAATTTTTAAGTACTGTACAGTACAGTACCCTAGTCTGTACAGGTATTCAGAACAAACAAAATTTTTGGTATTATTTTTTGCTTCAAGTTTTATTCCACTGGCAACATTCTCACTTCCTATAATACACCGGGTAGTACAGTACAAAAATGTGTTGCAAATTGTAACTTTTTTGTTTAGCATAAGTTGCATTGAGTTATGTTAACATTAACAAGATCTCACAAATTATTATTATTTGTGTCTTCTGGCATATTCAGGATTTGGATACTTCTTTTGAGAGTACTGTATAGCACAGCTCAGTACTGTGCACCAAAAATTTTGACAAGGAGTCAATTAAATAATTTGAAGGAAAATATCTGTAGAAAGGAGATGACGGTACACTTGTACGACAGAGTTGCCTTTCAACCATTCAACGTCATTTCTGGTATAAACAATATTACAGTATTAGAAAATTAGAGCATTTTCTCACATTTTGACTCGAAGGAAAAGCTGTAAACTTTTATGATTACACTGTATGAAAGGAAAAAGTCCACAATACTTCAGTTGATTATCTTCAAATATACAGTATTGGAGATGAAAGTTGGGTACAGTACTGCACAACATAGGATATTTAACTTTTGTATATATGCACTGGATATTGATTTTACTTAGTGTTTTACATTACTCAACTAGCTTTTGACAGTAAAACCTCTTTTAATTCAATATAATTGTTTACGAAGATGATGCTGAAGTAACTCAAATTATTATGTTTGGCCTATTGTACAGTATAGTATAGTATCTGTAAATTAAACAGTATGTTTAACTGTGTCCTCGGCAGAGCCTCTGCATCATTCATTAATATAGTTTATACTGTATTGACAATATAAAATGAAACCATTTTCTTTTATCTTCTTGAAATAATCTAAAAGGATCCATTTTATTGATACTGATATTGAAAAAGTTTATTTAGCAAGAAAAATACAGATACAGAGTGGACAATAATAACAGTACAGTATTGATATTATTTTTAAATATTGTTTTCTAGATTTTGGAATCTAGAAAATTGTCCAGATTTTTGTTTTAATAAAATAATTGGAATTATTGAGGCATTACTGTAAAGTGTTGCCCAGAAGACAAGGTCAAGCACATGCCAGATCAGTGTTCAGTTTGTTAGCATGATGATGGTTATTGAATGGTGTTTACTCTTTGTCACTTAACTTATCTTTGTTCAGGAAGGGCCTGGATGTTATGTGCAAAGAAAACAAAAACAAACATACTAATTGATGTCCGAGTTGTTTCAACTATGTTAACAACTTGTGGTCATTGCATTTCTCATTTATTTGATGAAGCTCATTGGGAGTGATGGTATGCTACACTAATTGCAATAATGTGTGCATTTGAAGCTCTGTGAAAACTTTACATTCAGAGTGGTATTTTTTTGTTAGGTTGAAGATGGCTGTGTGAAAAGTAAAATGGAATGATTGTAATGGTAGAGAATTTTTGTAATACTGTAGTGTAGAGTGGGTAGCCTGTTGCTCTGTAAATGTCATAACACGTTGTTTAGTTTGTTTTCACTTTTCTCTTATACTGTAGTAAATTGACAGTAATTCCTTTTAAGACATTGGCCTTAAATATGCCTTATTATCCATGATCTTCACGAGGAAGAGAAAGCAAAAAAGTGAGAAGGTTGTGTAGAGGTTATGTGTGATTGCCAGTGGATTGAGAAGGTTATGCAGACCATCCTGGGGTACTGTAGTTACAGTGCTTTAATTTTATTTTTTGTTTGATAAACATGTACACAGGGTACCTTTATCAAGTAAATGTTGTATTCCTGAATGGAAGGAGATGGGAATAGGTGTGAATAAGTGCTTGTTAAAGGAGAGAAATGAGCAGAGGCATCTTGTGGGTAGTATGAAGACACCCACCCAGAGAGAGAGAGGGGATGGGGTGGTCGGTTTAAGCTTCCACCTCTACTGGTTCAGGACGGAATGTCACTTAACTAACTTTGAGTGAGTACTTATAACAAAACATGGAGGAGTACTGGTATATATTTGGTGAATATGCAGATATGCACCTCACTCTAGGAGTAGCAAGTGGAAATGCAGCAGAAACTTTAGCAATTGGCCTTACTTTCAAATATAATGACATAATTTCCACTCATATACTGTATATACAGTAGTACACTGAAAGTACTGGCAGATTTTTCAGCTTGCAATTTATCTATTTTATTTATCCAACTAAATAACACATTTTATTTATTCTTGTGGAAATCTAATTTATCCACTCTACTTTCATTTTTAGTCTGAAAAATGAAAGTTTGACATGAATGACCACTGGTGTCATTACATCAATTTGGTTATCTACCCAACTGTGGTATGTAAAGAGTTTTGATTGAAGTTTTTTCTTGCATTTTTTCAAGGGAGTTAAATACAGTGGCTGGAGTCAAACTACCTGTACTGTAATATACTGGTATTGCTGATAATATTCTATTTTATAAACTCCTCCATGTTGCTTTATCACTTCAATATAGCTTTTTGCTAAATTCACTCTCACTGTTGTGGATGTCCAGATGGTGTTAATACAGTTTTGGTCTTGAGTTTGAGGTCCTAGGATTGATCTTCAGCTTTAGGTTGTATTATTATTTGCTAGTGGCTGTGACTGTCACTCTTAGGCACAGGATGTCAGTGTGAATGAATACTATTGTACTGGTATTCTTCCAAAATGAACTGGATATCTTGAGTTACCTATACTGGTATACCTTTTCCAGAGGGCAGTTGGATTGGTTCATTGAAGACTGCAGGAAACAACTGCCGCACTGATATGCTGCAACAGTTATATTTAGTCACTACATTATATACAGTACTGCTCTATATATACTGTACAGTATATATATGTGTGTGTGTGTGTGTACAATGATACAAAACACAGTATTAGAACTGTCAAAATGAATAATGGGGAAATGAAAGGAAGTACAGTACACTGTACTGTATTTGTTCATAGTTCTGGCCATGTGCACTATACGGTAATGTTAAAAGGTTAGAAGAGTTAAAAAACAAAAATATATTGGAAATGTTATAATTTGCAAGTCTTTAAGGCTTCCTTGATATGAGAGAAAATACAGTATGCATAAAATTTATGTACTGAAGCTCAAAAATGTAAAATTAACAGAAGGCCACTTACTGTATTTCTATTTAACTCAAATAAAAGTCAGTTAATCAATTTACTAGTTATCTAAATATTATTGTGTGATACATACAGTAAGGTACTCTAATTCTGTACCATAATAATAGTTTTTGTTTGGAGATGAAAAGCTACAGGTACAATATTTGTTGCTCACTGTTAGTCTTATTCTTTAGTACTGTACAGTATTAGAACAGTAATGATTAATCCTTTGTTACTTAAACATTATCTTATACTGTATAGTAATTCCTGAAAAGTTTTCTGAGGTGTAAACTTTTATGCTGATGAAATATTTGATTAGAAGTAATTACATAGCAAACATTGTGTTGACTAGTACTGTATTTATACTTTTATATTCTGTGACACAGTACATTTGTATGATTTGTACTTATGCTATCAATCAGTAGAATATCTGATGTTTGATTACAGTATTACTTTTGCAATGCTGTAGCTTTTTTGAATGAAAATAACTTTGCTTTGATATTTTATACTGATGTGATTACACATGTAGGATCACTGATTTGTGGTAAATGGATTTAATTTGTGATTATGGCATACAGTACGGTATATATTCTTTAAAGCATGATAAAATGTTATATCTACATCTGTTTGTGTTATAGTGTGTTTAATTGGGCTGATTCTATGCATCCAGCTCGGGTGCCTTAATGAGTTGTTAACTGGCTGTGGCAAATACTGTATTTTACTTACTGTTTTCCTTATGCCTGTTGTGTGTTCATAATTGTTGGGATGCTCTATTATTTTTGCCTCATTCTTTTTTATTTTCTTCACCTCCGCTTTACTTTGGTGCTTGTGCATGTTTCTCTCCATTTGCTTAATTCAGTAATAGACTCATTTTTGTCTTTGGTATGCCATGTACAGTTCCCCCAAAAGTATTGTTAGTCATTGGGTTGATGTGATTTGAAACTTTCCAAGTAATGTTACTCAACCTATTTCTGAATGGTATTTACATCCACGACCTTTGAGCATGAATGGATTTCTTATTATATTAAAGTATCTAGTATGTCATACAAGGACGACTCCCTCCCCTAATCCTGCCTGTCTCTAGCTGTTGTTAATATGGCAAGGAAGCATACCAACTTACGTTGATGCACTGGGGATCATATCAAACACGTTCAGCATTTCAAATTATAGCGATGGAAAATCCAACGATACTCTTTTTGGGGGGACTGTATATAGTGTACGTGAAATTATATGACGATTCGTCATGAAATATTTGCTTTATGCTGTATTAAGCATGTTAGGGATATTTTCCAGGTTTATTTTTATCCTTATTGAGATGTCGTCAAGGGGTTTATCTTAATTTTCTTGCTTTCTGTTTAAGTTTTGTTGTCTTTAATAATATTGTTTACATTCCTAGATTTAATGTAGTTTATTATATGCATATTTTTTGTGAGAGGCAAGTTTCTTATGATTACAGTACAATAATTGATTGTAAAAGTGGACAAAGTAATATTGTATACAATTCTTTCATGAATATTTTAATGAAATGGTATTTTGTTATGGTTTTGACTGATGCAACAAAAGACTGAGCTACTACTCTTAGCCACTCAGGTATAGTACTGTACTACACTGTAATGGAGGTAAGATGTCTTCATTTGAAAAACTTGCCCCTCACAGTTCATTCTCTCCCATGTTCCCATCTTATGGTACAGTATGTACAGATTAATATTTGAGTTAGTTTACAAAATGTAAACATTTAAAAATGCTCAACTGAGAATTTTTTCAGGCACCAGTACAGTATACATGAATTTGAATTTTAATTCTGTATGGGAAAACCCTATTACTGCACTGTACTGTGTTTAGCATGCTAAGAATATTTTCAGAGAATGTTGCCATGGTATGATATCCATAATTGATGGTGTCAGTGACTTGAAAGTATGTACAGTAAAGTATATAGTATTTTCTCTTAAGATTTTAGTTGATTTGAGGTTTTTGTTGATGTTTGGGAATACATTTAAGGACCAAGGCTCAGTATTGACTCAAAAATATGAAAGAGGTTACTGTTAAAACTACTTCTTTTAAATCATGTATCATAGAGATTACAGTACAGTATTGGGATCCCCGCATACAGTGCAGTTATAGCATATAATTAAGTAAGGTTAGGCATTCATTCAAGGCAGGTATTGTCCGAGTACAAATAGTGGAAATAAAGAATTATTTTATATTTACAGAAGTTTACATAAGATGTGGTCTTCAGTACTTGTAATATTTTATAATGTGAATGTGCCAGATTATATATTTGTCATCACATAAACAGTAGATTCATGCCTTTATTTCTTACACTGGATAATAAGGTATTTCATGTGTTGTTAGGATATCGCTGAACGTGATGACTCTTAATGTTGAGTCTCCACGGGTCTACACAGCACAAGGTGTCCCCATCTCTGTCACAGGAATTGCACAGGTCAGTAAGCCCCAATACTCATTGTAAATGGGTAAAACACATATACAGTACTCATGTATTGTACTGTACCCCATCAGTACAGTGCCAACCCCTTGAGGACAGTTAATTTGTGGGTATAATGACTGAACACTTAGAGAATGATGATTTAATCCATTGAGTACAGTATGATGCCATTATACTGAGGATTTCCATTGTACTTTAGGTGTTGAATATATATATGGGTATTGAATTAACTTCTCCTATAAATGTTATTCTCCCACTTGGCCATGACCTTCAATAAATCCTCTGCTACTCAGGTTCTTGTGAGGTATGCCTAACTCATCTTTTGTACAGTGTATTTGTTATCATTATCTGTGCCTCTTCCTTCCAGTCTTCATCAAGCCCTATGGTAATATTCTCACCCTTGCTACTCATACTGTACACTGTCTGCATTAAAACACTTATTATAATGCTTCTAATTCCCTCTACAGCAAGACCTACCATACTGTGGTCAAATGGCTTTACCAACTCATAGTTTAAACAGTGAATTATTTAAATTATTAATACAGTGATATCTCCGTTAGCCAGAACAATTGGTGCAAAGCACTTCTGGGAATGAGAAATTTCTGGGTACCGAGATGACTCTCTCACAGCTGAAAAAAATCCCTCATCCCCAGAATTTTCCGGATAACGGAAAAATGTTCTCGGAAGTTCCAGAATGATGCATTATTTCATCACTCAAAGCCAGAAAAAATCCTCTTCCCTGGAATTTTCTGGGTATTGGGAAAATGTTCTCAGAATTTTCCAGAAAATGTGCCCATTGGAAAATCGTTCCAAAGCCGTAATTTTCCGGAAAATTCCAACTTTGGGAATGATTTTCTGAGCAAATTTCAGTTCTGGCTATCGGAGAGTTCCGGGTTTGAGGGAGTCCGGCTAACTTATCTGTATCTTTTTAGGTAAAAAAAATTAAGTAAAACAGACCAGATATGAATTAGGCTTTATTTGTTTGTTCTGTTGTACAGTCGCCAACAAAATTATGTCTCTGTCGCCTCTTTCTGCTGTTCCACGAACCCTGAGATTCAGACTTGTGAACCAGAAGCAGTAGACAGTGATTCATTATTCAGTCCATGGCTGCTTCAGATTCATGAGTCTGACTCTCGGGGTTCCTGAAACAGTATCAGAGGCGACAGGAAATTTTGGGGACTACAAAGTACGTATGCAAAAAGAGACGAAATTTTAATTTGTATACTGTACTTCATATCAATTAAATTTTTCAATTTCAATTGTTTATTCCTTGATAGAGAAAGCGGGATCCTAGTGCTGTCACTAGGTACCCATGTAATACTTCATATCGATTTACTTTTGTCTATACAGATACTGTACGTATATTGATTCATCAATACTTGTCTCCATCTCCTCTTTCATACTCAATCTGACTTTCCTGTGTAGTCTTTCCTCCATAGTGTTTAAAATAAATCTCTAACCAACCATATCCATGAAATGAATATTGTTTCAACTATGCTCTTGAATTTATTATTTACCATTTTATAATCTCGTGTGGGTCTTACTAATATCAATTGAGTACGTTTCCTATAAAACTCCTCGGCATCTCTGCCATATCATCAGTCTGTACTATATGGGCTCTCATATGTTTATAAAATTTCTCTATAAAACTCATTAGCCACGGAGAAGATTTTGAACAAGTAAACCTTCACCCAGTATAAAACTCTCCTCACCTAACTTCACATTACTCTCTGGACACCTACCCTCTTCTCCCCTGTATTAAATTTTTCTTAGCTTCAACATCTTCATGATATACTGTACAGTAGTTATTAGATGTTACCAAAATTTAAATTATGTGCAATTTTGTTTCTATATCATTCAAAGCTAATATTGTGTTAAGTTTATTTCTTCCTTTCAGATAAGATAATTACTGTACTTTATTACTGTATTTAAATCCAAACACCTTTTTCCTTCATACCTTTTAAGAACAGTGTTCCAGTTTACTTATTATGTTAATATTCTATGCATTAATAAAATCTTTGTTTACACCAGGTGAAGGTGCAAGGTCAGTATGAAGAGATGTTGCTGGCAGCGTGCGAGCAGTTCCTGGGAAAGACCGAGTTAGAAGTTCAACAAGTGGCCCTGGAGACACTCGAGGGACACCAGCGTGCCATCATGGGGTCCATGTCTGTTGAGGTTGGTGTCTTTTTTGTGTAGATATAAAAAATTGTAGTTACGTACTCCGTTTATCTACATACTTCAATTTTTTAAATCCACGCAGAAAAGAAATTAACCTACCAGCCAATGAGCCTTATATACGTACAAGAAATATTAAATTAATTTCAGTTTGATGCACATACGCTGTAGTAAAGAACATGTGAAAGTTACTGTTCATAACACAACTACCCATCATCATCATCATGTACCTAATACAGTACAGTACTGGATCACCCCAAGACTCTCCACTAAATACTCAGTTTATTTTTCCATCATGTAATTATTAATGTAGCACTTAAGTAATGCTTGATCATCAGTTACAGTATACACTCCATGTTAATGACATAATTGTGATTGCTAGCAACAGTTATATGTTTGCAATGCATATTTTTCTGTCAGTGGACATGAAGTTACTCTCATTGAAAGCAATGAACAGATTGACATAGCTGGGGGAGTTTGTCAAGGGTGTAAAGTCTGCTTGGCTGCTATTAAAACATATAAGGCTGGAACAACAGGAGAACTAAATGAAAGAGAGTGACTGGAATAGTGAGACATGGTAACATTGAGTGAGAGTTGTGCTGTTGGCTGAGTCTGAGGAAGAGATAGATGGAAGCATTTGTAGGAGAGCAGTGTCAAAAAATGATTGGGTAAATTTTGATGTTTGAAAAGAAGGGTTGGGCATACAAGCTTAGATATTTTAAAGCAGTTTTTAACAAGACAAAAATAGAAAGTAGAAATGAATACATATAACACAATGTAGAAGAACAGTAGGTGTTAAAAGAGCATTAATAAACAGAGTATTTTTAAGAGTATATGAATGTGAAACTGGTGTAGCGTTCAGAGGATTTAGAGGGGAAGAAAAGATTAATTAAGAAAAATGAGTACAAGACTATGGAGAACCAAATGAATGAGAATCCTTTATAGTGCAGTGGATGTATGGACTGTTTTTGAGATGAGAGATTGTTAAGGAAGACTCATGTGATCAAAGAGAGTGAGGAAGACAGACATGGATGTGGATGAACTGTATAGGTGAATTGATAAAGTCATGAGCTGTCAGATAATGGTTGAAGAGTGATTATGGGTCATGGATGGTGGAATAGTTTTTTATGTGATACTGTACTTTGAATTACATTGGCATAGGCATGGTGTGTATTGAGTTGATATGAGGCAATATAACCAGTGTGTAGATTAAATTTGGTTTTGTTTATTTAGAATATTTGTATGAAGAATTGTGTGTGTGTGTGTAGTTTCCCTAATTGTTGTTTCAGCCAGTCTTGTTGCTTTCTATACCTTTTTTGCATTATTCTTCCCCTACCATGTTTTACCTTTCTTTGGATTACTGTTTTCCTTAATTCCCCTTATTTGTGCTGGAACAGAGGAAAGATAATACAGTGGTCCCTCGGTTAACGAGCACAATCCGTTCCAGCAGGTTGCTCGTTAACCGAAAAACTTGTTAACCGAAACCATTGTTTCAATGGGTTTTTGGGTAATTGGCTCACCGAAAATTGCCTAAATTCAACAAAAAAGGTAGAAAAGTACACTTACTTTGAGGTGTGTATGTAGAAGGCTCCTGGATGATGATGATGGGAATTAGAATGGGGGTGGAGAAGGAAGAAGAGAAGGCATTGGGGTGGAAGAGAAGTCACCCCATGGCACCTTCACCCATAAAATTTTAGTTCTCTTGGTGTATTTCAAGATTATTTTCTTTAAATCAACACTGCACTGCATTATATATTGTCAATATGTAAAATATATTTCAAAATGACCAATAATTTGCTTGGAAACACACAAAAAAAGCGTTTAGTTGAAGAGAGTCTCAAGCAAGATGTTACCTCCACTGAAAACAGAGAGAGACTAACGCCTGTCTGGTGTGTTAACAGGCTGGATGGCACGCCAGAAACTAGTTTCTTTACCTTCAATTATGTTCAATAATTGTTAAAATGACTAAAAAAGTTAATATTAAACTTTTAAAATTATTGAATAGTATAAACTTCTTGATATTTACTAAAATAGTAGGAATTTAAGCCCTAAAACCGATTACTGTATTGGCGGACTAATACTACAGCTGGTGGACCGCCAAATGCAAGCGAAAACATGTTGAAGTCGGCTCGTAAAAAACTCCTTAATCGAGGGATTGCTTGTTAACCGAAGTTAAGAATCTTATGGAAGGTAAATCGTTAACCGAAATCTCGTTAACCGAGGCGCTCGTTAACCGAGGGACCACTGTATAATATAAATTTTCAGCATGACCGATATATCTTTTCATGGTTACTAAGCAGAACTTGGGTAAAATGCATTTCTCCTGTGCTCTTGTTTTTAAATGGTACCCACAACAAAAAATCACAGCCATAGATACAGTCAAAGAAAAAAGTTGTCTTGCACTTACCGTGCCTCATGTTCTGAAACCCATGACGAAGAATTTTGGTAAAGTTCCCCTTTCAGACTCGAACCTTGAAGCTCTGCTGTCACTTTACTCAAATTCTTTGTCATCAGTTTCAAAACACAACACTAGGGGGTGTAACACGACTATTTTCTTTGACTGTGCTTGTTTCAGTGATAAGTACGTACATATTAGATCAAACTTTTTAAAAATTGAAACATTTATTGATTTTCAACAGAAATGTTCGTTTGATAATATCGATCCTTTTTAAGTATTTGTAGTACAATATTAAATTTCCCACTCATTCCCTTTAATATATAAAATAAAAATGTACCCAACATATAAGATATGTGATGATTTTTTCTGTAGTCACTGCTTTTAATATTACAGAAATCTTCAGAAAAGATATAGTATTTGGCTACCAAATGAATCCCATATGGCATGATCATCATTATATTATGTACAGAACTTGCACAGGTTTAAATTGGCTTCACAACTGGAAAGAGTTAAATCAGTAGACCCTAACTTGTAGTATTAGTACAAGTACAGTAGTACCTAACAATACATTTTTTGGTGATCAAGTTTTCTTGTTTGTAGAGTGCATGGGTGTTATTGGCATGTAGGTTACTTGATTGGGCTCTCCTAAGACTGTTTTTAGTGGTGTTTCATTACTGCCTGCAATAAAGTATCTGTCAACCAAAAATCTACTTTGTGAAATAATCTATTTTATGGAAGATTTGAGCATTCTGGATATGGAATTCAAGAATATACATCAATTTTCTTTTACTTAATTATCCATATATTACATGAAAGTAAATGAGGAGAAATTGGATAATCAGGCAACTAGCTAAGTGACTGTGCATGGTGGTGTGAGCGATGAGTGTATTTGTCTTCCTTTGAGGAGTAAGTTATATGGTGATTATAGGAGAATTATGACCTGGTGAAAACTTATTTGTAAACTTAAAACACTTATAGTGTTAGAGAATAAATGACTACATTACAGTGGTCCCTGGGTTAACGAACACAATTCGTTCCACAGAGTCGTTTGTTAACCGAAAATTTCGTTAACCAAATCAATTGTTTCAATGGGATATTGGGTAATTGGTTCCAGTTCACCGAAAAGTACATACAAAGTAAAAAAAAATGCAGTAAAGTACACTTACTTTGAAGTGTGTATGTAGAAGGTTGCTGGTTGATGATGATGATGGGAATTAGAAGTGGGGGTGGAGGAGACGGGATAAGAGAAGGAAGTGGGGATGGAGGAGAAATTGCCTTTCTTTGGACCCATGCTTGATGCAGTATTTTCACCAATAAAATTTGAAGTTCACTAGGTGTAATTCAAGATTATTTTATTTAAATCAACACTGCACTGCACTATATATTATCAATGTGTTAAATAAATTTCAGAATGACCAATAATTTTAATGTAAAAATGCAAAAATATTCAAGACACTAACAAAATCGATGTTCACTCCACTGTAAACAAAGCCAAACTGACGCCTGGTGGGTGACTCAAGCGGCTGATGGGCGCACAGAAAACTTGTTCCCTGTACTGCATATATTATCAATATGTTAACTAAATTTTGAAATGACATAATTTTAATATAAAAAATGCAAAAAATATTAAAGAGCACAACTTTCTTGATATTTACTCTACTGGAAACGAATGTAAACATAGAACAGATTACTGAATTGGTAGACTAGCCCATCAGCTGATCAGCTGATGCTCACAACAAAACGTGTTTGTCGTAAGGGTTTCGTTAATCGAAGTTTTGTTCGTTAACTGAATTGAAGATCCTTATGGGAGGTAATTCGTTAACCAAAATTTCGTTAATCGAAACGTTCGTTAACCGAGGGACCACTGTAGTTAAATTAGTGTACAGGTATTTACAGACTAACAATACGTGTACAGTATAACCAAGCTGACGCGAGTACTATGGCTTCTAACATGCTTTCCCTGGACACTTACCGGTATACATGAGTGTCCACTATGTAAAAATCCATTTTTTCCGGAATGTCCCGGGTTCTAAGCGATTTGGTTGACATATTTTACTGTACCAAGACTTTCGGGTTTATTTGTCAGTTTTTCCTGTTAAATTTCTGCACTGTCACCTTCTTGTTAAATGAGTTTTGATTACTCACTACAGTCTGTTGTTTAAATGTCACAATAACTTTTAGGATGAGCACAAACAAAGGGTCTAATGGGTTTTTAAAAGTACTGTACACTCGCAACAAAAAGTATCGGTGCATACTGTAGTGTGAACAATTTGAGACCAGTGACGATATGTATTGGGAAAGGCGAGTTGTTCCAGCCGTATGTTGGCAGCCCTGATTGTCAGCCATATGGCAACACCTAGTGGAAGGAGGGGGGGGTTATGAGGATACACATACCAACCTTCCCGACATATCACAGTGTATACGTATCGTTTCGGAACTCGTCGATCTCGCCCTGCACCGATACTTTTTGGTGCGAGTGTACATTGTTGTTCTTGTGTTATTTTTGGTAATATACTGTACAAGTAAACTGTACACAGTAGTGTAAATACAGGTCCCATTAATTAATGTCTTTTTTTCTCAGAAAATGACATATTTTCCACACTGGTATAAATTATGCTTTGTTCTTTTCCTCGTGAATTTTGTCTCACAAATATTTGTGGTTGTCTTTGTAAAGTTTAAGTAAAAAAAAGGCAATATTTTTTAGTGTGGAAAAGATAACTTGCAGTACTTTTGGGTGATATTTGTATTTCCAGGCATCTCTTGACCTAAATTCTTTCAATGTTTGAAACAGATGCTTCACCAAACTAGGAGATGTTTAGCACCTTTGCACCCTTGAAGTAAATGTAAAGGATGTAGTTTTATATTAAGTTCTTAAAATTAAATTTTTGAATAGGGATCATTATTGACTGCAGGTTTTTCAGCTCATGTTAATTGATGGATTTCAGCGGCCAAAATTTAGGTGTCTTCATATGAGCAGCAGCAGCCATGAGGGTCTCTTGTTTTATTGTGTATGTTTATTGAACACTTATTCAACTTTTCTGCAACTCACAGGAGATCTACAAGGACCGTAAAAAATTCAACCAGAATGTTTTTGAAGTTGCATCCAGCGACTTGATAAATATGGGCATCACTGTGCTGTCATACACCCTCAAAGACATCCATGACGATGAGGTATGTAAGCAGACAACAAATGGGGCAACCTTTTACATGTTAAAGTGTTTAAAAAATTTAGGAGTTTTTGTCTTTGTCAATATTGAGTATCTTTGAGGATACATTACAGTATATTCCTTTGATCCTTTGATATTTTCCTTTGGAAGAACAGGCACTCTAGATGTGATTTTATTTATAATATTTTTTTTATTTTAATTTTAAGCAGATTTTGTAGTTTGAGGCACTAATAATTATAATGTTATGAGTTAAATCACCAGAATATAATAACGTGTAAAATAAATTTGATTTGTTCAAAAGAATCTTGAGTGGATCTGATGAGGATGAGGCCAAAGAAAGGTTAATAAGTTTGAACAGTATTGACCAGAAGAAGCACTGATTACTGTTACCTGTGTTAATGTGTCAGTGAGCACACCTTAGTGAAAAGTGGCTGAAAATGTTACTCTTGATATCTTATTTATAGTAATGCTTCATTTATGTGGATGGCTAGTAGAATTGTTGAAATTCATTACATTACTGTACAGTATACAATGTATATTTGTTATTCAGGGTTCCAGTAATGAGTTTTAGGGTTGCACATTCACTTGTGATGACATAGATGAATGGATTAGATAGAGTACAGTACTGTAGTCTATGCACTTTACTACTGCACAGAAATAATGAACAAAAGGTATAATGCACTGGCTTCTAAGTGTGGAATTGCATAATAGAAAATGAACAAAGTAAATAGTTAAACCATATTGAGTTGATATGAACTCATGGAAAGAGTAAAATTAAGAAAGAAGAAAAAAAATATATGGGTGTGATATACCCAGTGTAGTATATGGTCTCCAGAGTAAGGTTCTGAAAAATAAAAGATATTTCTGCCTTTAAATGGTAAAACACCACACACACACACAAAAACCCACAGTAGCTTCTGAAGTTTTTTTGAATGAGAGAATTCCCAGTGAGTCATAATAGTGAGGTGCAGGGGGTGTTGATAGCTTGACACACTGATTATACCATATTTTCTACTGTTCGTGATTTTTATGTCATTCAAATCACAGCATGTTATTCATATGACTGTATACCGGGTATTTCACTCTTGGCTAATAACTACACAAAGGCTGCAGTGAGGGAGCAAGTGTGTGACCTTAAGCTTTTACAGTGTGAATTGTATTGAACTTTGGTTTGTAAATTATTTTAGTCAGGATGTAATTATGTCACTGGAAGCCCAAAGCATCTACAGATCAGGAGTTCTCAAATATGTGAATTAAATATAGTGGAATATGGGGATAGAGGAGGTGACTAAACATTTGAATATGAGACAATATGAACACTGAAATGTTTGGAGAAGATATCTCTATGACAGACATAAATAAGGAGTTGCAGTAGTGAAGAACATGGAGATGCTCTGGAACAAGTTGTCATATAAGTGAGGCATTTGTAAATGTTTATTTTTAATTCAAGAGTAACTACTGTCAGCAAATGTAGAGCTATGGGTGATATATAGGTCAAACTTTTCTCCATTGTATAGGTAGAGAACACTTACTTAACAGCTTATTATCTAGGTATGCAGTACTCATCACACATCCATTTTGTCCATCTCACAACATTCTCACCTGTTCTTTCCCTAATATCATGTACTCTTTAAACTGTTCTGTTTTTTATATTCTAGATAACTGTAGTAGTCAATCTTTCCCAAACCTAAAACACAGATGCTTATTGATATCTTTTTTATCCATTTGCATTATTATTTCTGACGCTCTCCTTCAATATGGCTGCCTCAGTCTTGTCTCATGCATTTAGGGAATATATATGAGAGGTTATAAACTCCATCAGGTTTGCCTTTAACTTTATTGTTGTCCTTGACCATAATATTCTTTATAATAAAACTTCGTAAATGGCTCAAAGAATTAATTTAGCACAGTTAACATAGTTGATTATTGTATTCTGGAAGTAACTCATAACGTACATAATTCTACAGTAACATTTTGAAAATGTGATACAGTACAGTATGTGATGTTTTTATTGAGTATGACCTCAATGACCTTTTCTTTTATATTTATATATTTTTTTAATTTTAATATTTTATAGTGTGACATCTTGTGATGAGGTTACCGTAATATTTGCATTAGTAACTTTTATGAAGTAGATTATTGGCAGGTAACATTTGCTTGACCATCTCACATCCACACTTGTAAATGTCAGTGTTTGTCTTGCACGATTATAAGTTAATTTTTACTGTGTTACAAGGGAAGCTGTGTGCATAGATAAGGCTCTTATTTTTGTAACAAATTTACATTTTCATTTAATAAGTAAGATGAAATTAGTGGGTATGATAATAATTTAGGGAGATGATTTTAGTATATACTAATATTTTACACATATATGTATATATATATGTTACGCTAAATAGGGATAATTGCCGATTAGCGATAACTTCTACGTATTTATCTCTTTGGGAAACTTCTGACTGGCCCTAAATGATCATGAAGATCATAAAAATACATACTGTACAGTATAAAGGAAAAGCTTCATACAAAACTTAACCTAACATAGTATAACCATACCTAACCTAACCATACCTAACATATTTTAGGTATAATATTGCTATATTATGATAGTAAACGACACTTTAAATGAAACAGAGCAAGTTTTACTGTATATGAATTAATTCCCATTGAGTTCGAACCATAAAAACAAAATTATCCCTATTCGGCAAAACCATGTTGCTTTTTAAGGCTTAGTCGCCAATTGTCCCTATTAAGTGTAATCTACAGTATATATATATATATATATATATATATATATATATATATATATATATATATATATATATATATATATATATATATATATATATATATATATATATATATATATATATATATATATATATATATATATATATATATATATATATATATATATATATATATATATATATATATATATATATATATATATATATATATATATATATATATATATATATATATATATATATATATATATATATATATATACACTGTATATATATATATATATTATAATATATATACTATATATATAGAATTTACACAAAAATTAAGATATCTAATCTTGCCCTTTCCTCCACCACTGTCATTGTTATTACTGTGCTCAGACCTACTATGCAAAGGTTAGTTTAGCCGAGGTCTCTTAAGCCTGTCGTGTTGTCCGTTCATGTGGTACACGATAGCTGGTCGCCCAGTAGGTGTGCACGTGCATTATCGTCTTTGCTTGCTACGGGGGTTGCAGTTCTTTGCACTGACAGAACCAATGTCCAGATGTTGGCCCTCATTAGCCACGCCTCTCAGTTATCATCAGGTTATGTGTGAGCACCACAATATATCTGTACAGTATTTCATAGTGTACTTGGAGATACTTCTTCATTTTCATTACTGATAATGTTTCATTGTTTATTTTTTCACCTCTTTGTTTTGCCTATCCTCTTAGTCTCCTCTTGTTATCTTCGTTTTATTTTTTCTCTGTTTATTGAGTTCCTGGAGTTTTTGTATTAATTGTATTATAGTACTTGTGCTCCTCTTGTACTTTTCACATTAGTTAAGCGAGACATTTTTTTTTATCTTTAATGATGTTGATTTGAAATAGAAAGAAAATTATTTGCAAGGTATTTGGTGAATATTATTAAAGAGGTTGTTGAGTGGATTGCTTAGTACAGTATACCCATGAAGCCACAGCTTAACCAAAGAACCTAGATGAACCCCAAGATTAAACTCTACCCACAGAAGTGAACTAAGGTTAAACCCCCTTGCCCTTAGTTGGTTTATGTTGTTGCATGAATAATAAAGAGGTCCCCAATGCCTTTATTTATGCACATGCTTCCCGCTATTATGTTAATGTTTATATGACAAAATTCCTGTACGATATACAGTATGCTTTTTTTTTATTGTGCTCTTCGTTAATTAAGTATTCTCTTTAACTTCCAGTATAAATTCCACCCCACCCCTCCATTTCAGCCCTCATTGGTGTAGAAATATGTTACATTGTTTTTGGATTCCCAGTACAGAATTAATTTTATAGATATTTTTAGATATTATAGTTTTTTATTATTATTCTATGAATAGTTTTGTATTTGCTCGTTTCTGGCCAACTTGCATTAAGCAGGAAAAGGCTCGAAAGAGGTAAAAGTATAGTTTAGTTGCTACTTTAGAGAGAGAGTTGTATGCCTGTATATGTGTTTCTTAATAAGGTTTCTCAATACCCTACTTCAGATTGTTATAAGATGGGTTGCCAAGGTTGTGTAAACATTTCTGCCATTTTTTCTTACCGATGACTTCACCTTTTATAATATGAAGTTAAAGGTGCAGTAAAGTAATGTTAAGTACTTGACAATACTTCATATAACAAAATGTGTGAAATTTTATAATCAGTATAGATTTAATTTATATTTTAGATTTTAATTTAAATGTTTTTTTTACATAGTTTTAGTTATGGTTATTTTTGTTGCTGTTGTACTGTTCTGCCTTTAAAGTCGTTGTTAGGAATACATTTTGAAAAATTGCCATAAAACAGTTTTAAGAAGTAAGTGTAGATTAAAAGAGATGCGAAGAGGAGTACAGTATTTTCATATTTATAATTTTTCTTTATATTTTTTGTATGTTCCTGAATTTTTTTATGGGTTTGTCCATTGTAGTGCATGTTGAAGAGCAGTCAAATAGTTATGTGCACTGCTTATGGTTGTTAGAAATAATTTCTGTACTGTACTGTGTTACATAGTTAGAGCTTTGTATATGGTAACTACATTTTAAGTTTAATGCTATGGATGGTAGATTGTAGCTTTGTTTTAAGTATGCATTATTACTCCGACATCCTTATGTTTATGGTGTACATATGATGCAGAGTCTGGATATAGAGAGCCTCCTGTGTGAAGGGCAAGATACTGTATAGGACAGTACAGGATATTTATTGTTTGCAGTTTCAACAGTGTTGTATCAAGTGCTTGTTGCTGGCTATTAGGTTTATAATTGTCAAGCTTGTTTGCTCCGTTTACTTCATCTTGCTGGATGTTTGAGGTTTCCTTATATTTATTTTTTACCTCTGTAGTTATAGCATTGGAATAAGCAGTGTTTATAATAAAATGGCTTCCTTTGTAGTGCCAGTCAAGAATTTTTAAAAGTTTAATATTTATGCAAGCTTTATTAGATTATTGAATACAATAATTACAATGCTGAATGGTCACATAATAAAATGAACTGCAGTCCATGAAGAGAAGGAAAGTGTCAACCTGCACTCATTAGTCTTTTATAATCCAGTTTTTTGATGCGTTAATTTTATTACTAGTACGATGAAGTGCGTTGTGTTTGTGACTGTGTTGGTAGGGAGTGTGTCTTATTTATTTAGGCAGTGTGCATGTTCATGTAGTACTGTATATGTATACTTTAGTTATTTTTGTTTTTAATTCATTTAACTCCAATTTATGTGTGTTACCATGAAGCGTATACAGTACTTAACAAGTGCACAAATACAGAGCACAGTAGATGGGATGCTTGAGGAAATTTAGGTGCTTTAAGCTGTAGGGATTTAAATTTAAAAAATTTTCCCTATACAGTACAGGGTAAGATTTTTTTTATAGAAACTAACAATACTGTAGTTTTTACATTTAACTTTTGGCAGCTGTAGTATTGTTCTTAGATTTACAAATGTTGCTTGTCTCCTGTCTGCAGTTGTCATGGATAACCTTTATTTTTTTTTTTATTTTACATTGAAAACTGTTGCCACGTTCAGCACTCGTTTAACTAATTGGTAGCCAGTTAGATGGTATTTTTAAGCCTGCTGCACATGGTGATGAACTATTACTCCTCAGTTATATATGATGAAGAACTGACTTCAGATGTAGTGTGTTGAGACATAATTCATTGAAGTGATTTTTGTCAAGAGTTGAGGACCAAAATGTATAAGGCCTTTGTTTTTATTGAGATTAATTAATTACACTCATTAGCTAATCCTCAGCTTTTCCAGTAATTTTTGTTTTAACATAAGTAGGAACTGGCTGCTTGTTGTTAGTTTTAAATGAATAAATAACTTTGTAGTGGTATTTGGGTTTATGTAGAGTGCTGAGGTATATTTCCTTGATGACTGAATGATTGACCTGTAGGGAGTAATGTTGATGGAAATTTTGAAAAGGAATAAATGATTTTTTGGAAGTGAACTACTATACTGTAAAGTTAAAACTGTTAATGTGTAAAATTTTGGAGCGTGATGAACAATGTTTTGATGATCGAGTGTTATTGGGAAAAATCACTTGACCTAACGTGACGGGACAAAGAATGAATCCAGTAGTGTACCAGACTCTCTTGTTATAAATAGACTCAGCATAGTCATAATTCAGTGCTGTAGCCATATGAACTGCTAAACAACAAAGCATACAATATTTCCTGGAGGGTAAAATTATGGTACTACAGTGGTCCCTCGGTTAACGAGCACAATTCGTTCCAGAAGGTTGCTCGTTAACCGAAAAATTCGTTAACCGAAACCATTGTTTCAATGGGTTTTTGGGTAATTGGTTCCAGCTCACCGAAAATTGTCTAAAGTCAACAAAAAAGGTAGTTAAGTACACTTACTTTGAGGTGTGTATGTAGAAGGCTCCTGGATGATGATGCTGATGTGAATTTGAAGTGGGAGGTGGAGGAGAAGGGAGAAGAGAAGGCATTGGGGTGGAAGAGAAGTCACCCCATGCCACCATTTCACCCATAAAATTTTAGTTCACTTGGTGTAATTCAAGATTATTTTCTTTAAATCAACACTGCACTGCATTATATATTGTCAATTTGTAAATTAAACTTCAGAATGACCAATAATTTGTCTGGAAACACAGAAAAAAAGTGTTTATATTGGAGAGTCTGAAGCTAAATATTACCTCCACTAAAAAGACAGAGACTGATGCCTGTATGGTGTGTTGACAGGCTGTTTGGTGTGCTTAAAACTAGTTTCCCTGTATTCAATTATGTTAAATTAAAAAATTTAATATAATACTTTTAAAATTATTGAATAGTACAAACTTCTTGATATTTACTAAAATAGTAAGGAATTTAAGCCCTAGAACCGATTACTGTATTGGCGGATTAATACGACAGCTAGTGTACAAGCGAAAACATGTTGAGGGGCGCTCGTAAAGAATTCGTTAATTGAGGGAATGCTCGTGAACTGAAGTTAAGAATCTTATGGAAGGTAATTCGTTAACCGAAATTTCGTTAACCGAGGGATCACTGTATTCATACCAGGCAGCTTCTCAGCCATCAGGGTTGCAGACATTCTTCACACCCAAATTATCTTCACTTCCAAATCCCACACATTCTTTTACAACTCTTCACCTTTATTGAGTATCTACGTTTTAGATTTTGTGTGCTATTTTACCAAACATGGTATCCCGGTTCGAGGTTGTGAAATTACTGGACTACCAAAGAAGTGTAAGCAAAAATGTTCAATGAAAATTCAGCTCGTTTTATCTTGGCCTGATTATAGTCGGTAAACTGTCTGTTTTGTTTATTATTATGGTAGTACTGTACTGGCAGTTTTGTTTTGGTAGTACTGTACTGGCAGTTTTGTTTTGGTAGTACTGTACTGGCAGTTTTGTTTTGGTAGTACTGTACTGGCAGTTTTGTTTTGGTAGTACTGTACTGGCAGTTTTGTTTTGGTAGTACTGTACTGGCAGTTTTGTTCGAATTCTTTGTTAGTGTATGTGGTGTTACGAGTGAAGAGAATGGTTGATGAAATGATAGAGGGAGTTTTCATGAGGTTTGGGCATATGTGTAGAAAATTTTTAAAATAGAAGAGCCTCATGTATATTTGAGTAAGGTGAATGGGCACTCGAGAAGACCAAAGATTGTTAGAGTATGGTAGTTGTGTAAATGAAATTATGAATGATATAGACCATGGTGCTTCATGTATATAAATAAAACTTCCAAAATATATAGACTAGAAATTTAATGCTTCATCTGAGTATGGGCCCAAAATAATATACTGTATTGTACTTGAGGTGGTTGCTATCTCTCTTTCTTTCTCTCACTAAATGTTTTGTTTCATTGTGTCATCTGTAACTTTCCATGTTTGTGAAGAGATTATTGGTCAGGAAGGTTGATATTGTTTAAGATCTCAGTTCAGCCAATGACTTGCCATATGAACACCATAACAAGAAAGGATTGAGGACAGTAGTGGAGTAATGTAGATCTCTTACCTGTAGGGTTCTGCCTGTGGTGATGGACAGTGGCTGAACTTCCCACTTTAAATATGTTTTGTACCGTCAGGAATTTATCACTTCTCATGACCAGTATTTTGACAGTAAAGCATTAAAGTATATTTAGCACATTTGTCTTTGTTATTTATCAGGACATTGAATAGATATGTATTTATTGTAAAATTTATTTTATCTTTAGTCTCGAACACGAGCCACCACCACAGTGCTGCACATAATTACCAGTACAGTAAATTTGGTGTAGGCAGAACCCTCTGTGGTACAGTATATGTTTAATATTAATGTGTCACTGTGCATCAGAAATCAATGTCATTATCTCACTTATAGTTAATGGCACCAATATATTGTAGTTAACATCATTAATTACTACTATTTTAACTTATTTTATTTTTAGTTTGGTAGAGTTTTGTGTATGTGTGCATAGCATTGAAATATGTTTGGTGACACACTGGATCTGATACCAATCCTTTGTTCCCAAGCTTCTGCACATCTCACAAATAACAGCATTCATTAGCCTCTTGCCCTAGAATATATTGTAAATATTTATAGAGTAAAATACCTGTTAACTTGAAGAAAGAAAACATATTTCTTATAATTATATATATATATATATATATATATATATATATATATATATATATATATATATATATATATATATATATATATATATATATATATATATATATATATATATATATATATATATATATATTTTAAAAGGATACCTATTCATGTTTTTTCTAGAATGATATAATATGACCCATCTACAGGATGATGAGTTATTCCTTGGATGTTTTAAACTGGTCGTAGGACAACCTAGTTTTTCAATAGTGAAGTCATTATGCAGTGCTGTATTGCCATTCATTTTCCCATAGCTTTTTGAGTCCTTCTGTCTCAAGATTGTGAAGTAATGCTGATCTTAGTAGCTTTTACTGGAATACGTATATTGTCTTTTACTGAGAAAATGCTTCCACCTTGAATATTGTTTTTGGGATATTTCATGATTGATGAGCCTTGTGCTTAGCCTCGCCTCTTTCGATGTAAACTTAAGAGTGATTCTGATTCTGTGTTTTAAGTGGAAGTTGCAGATGTAGACACATTATTATCTCACAAAAAATATTATGTTTTGAATAAAGTTTTGATCTTTTCAGTAATAAATTTAATTCTGTGTGTTAAATGGAGAATATTAGTTTGCAGACTAATTATTGATGAGGTTTTACTGGAGAAATAAATTTGTTGATTTTATATTATTTTGATTTATCAGTACACATTATTATATAAAAAAGTAGTTAATGAGAAATAGTGTCTCAGAAGCATGAATGTTGAATGGTGAAATTGTTTTGTCAATGATATACGGTACTGTATGGGTTTTCATCAATAGGGCTACCTAGATGCTCTGGGTATGGCCCGAACTGCTGAGGTGAAGAGAGATGCCCGTATTGGCGAAGCTGAAGCAACCAAAGACTCCCAGATCAAGGAAGCACTTGCTGAGGAACAGCGTATGGCTGCTAAGTACATTAACGATACCGAGATTGCTAAAGCTCAACGAGATTTTGAATTAAAGAAGGCCACATATGACATGGAAGTTCAAGCCAAGGTAAATAATTTCAGATATGTTTGAAGAGTTATTTTGTAACATCTTCACAAGTGGTCTCATAGTGAACACCTCTGATATTGCTGAAATTTTTTGATAAATACTGTACCTTTGGTTGTATTGTGTGGTTTTGCCAAATTTTAGCTGCTAGATCTTTGTAAAGTAGTTTTGGAAAAGTGAGCTCTCCTCTTCCCAAGGTTTATTATAGAAGTTCTTTTTGGAGATCCATGTATTATAATCACTGAAACTTTGTTCGTGTATAGATATTTATCCCTACTATCAGTACTGTATAACCTCATCTGTTGCCCATTTTCATTGTTAGATTCTATAAATGTAGGATATTTATTTTTATCCAAGGGGAGGTCAACCAAAGGCCTTCATGCATAGTAAGACTTGCAAGTATGTAAGCAGTCAGCATTTCCTTAAAGTGCATGATACATACCTGAAAATCTGAATAGTAACTGGGTGTATGTTAACTGGCATTAATTTCCTATAGAAACCTGTTATAAACTGAGATCTTTCCAGAAGTTCGCCCAACAATTTTTTAACTCTGAATTGTCCCAGTAATGGATGAATAGTGAAATACAAGCAAATAAACTAAGAACAGTGAACAAGTACAATACAGTATACAATAATGAATTTAATGTTTTTTTCCCTAGAAAGCAGAAGCTGAACTTGCATACGAACTTCAGGCTGCCAAGACACGTCAAAAGATTAAGGAGGAACAAATGCAGATTAAGGTAAAGTGTTTTGAAAACTCCCCCAAGCATTTTTGGTTTGCATCAGCAATTAATATTGACCATAAAAGTTGGACTGGTGTTAATTGAAAATTTATGTAAAAATATAAAAGTAATTTTCCCAGAAAAAGTAAATTGGGTTTAGCTGAATGTTAAGAATTTTTTTTTTTTTTTTAGAAATTTTGTAAAGGATGAATGGTGTAAGGGAAGAAATTTTTTTAATGGTAAAATTAAAGTAAGGAAGGAAGGAAAGAGAGAGAGACTGCAAAATGTAGATCAGTCATGAGTTAAATTTTTGTGAAGGTTGAGCAGTGATTCAATGGATTATCTAAGGGGAACATTATCCCATGATCAGTTCAGACAAAGTAAATGCAGTACAGTACTTCACTAGACCTGGTGAAGCTACAAGTTACATGTAAAAATTTAACAACATAAGTGAATATTTTTAAGAATCCCCCCAAACGTCTTGTGATACACTCTCTTATACGATGGTTTGTGTGTCGCCTTTGTTTGTTCTGTATTAACCTATTTTCTGTTTGTTATTTCTTGGAAGATTAACTTACATGTTCCTCTACATAAAATAGGAGTGGAGAAAGTCAGGTGAAATTGGATAGAACTTTTATAACATCGTCTTGATGTAACTATTACTCTGCCTGTCTAGTGTCTTCTCACGGCAGTTTATACCAGTATTTGATTGATCTTTGTCAAATTATCGGCTTAATTGTGACTTGAACTAAGAAAGTAAATAGTTTGTGTTAGAGCGGTAGGTGTTTGTGAGAGAGAGAGAGAGAGAGAGAGAGAGAGAGAGAGAGAGGCAGTAACATCAGGTGTCGTGTGTTACAGGTAGTAGAGAGAACTCAGGAGATTCTTATCCAGGACCAGGAAATTCAGCGGCGTGAAAAGGAGCTGGAAGCCACAATAAAGCAGCCGGCAGACTCTGAGAAGTTCAAGTATGTACGAGTGATATTTTTAAGTACAGTAATAATGTTGACTTATTTAATGATATTTCAAGAATTCAAGTTTGTCTGTTAGTTATTTTGCTTTGTGGATTTAAAGCAGTGTGCTCTACTTGTTCAGTGTGTTTGTTTATCCTTTTGTCTTAATGTTTCCATACCTTTGGCCCTCTTGTTGTCAAATGTTGCAGTAGGTGATGGTTCCCCATGGGTGATGATGATAAGGGGTGACATTAATGGAGGGTTTTATTTAAGGGAATAAAAAATATGTTGTATATGCCTGTAAGGGTGCCATCATCTCAGGGTTGTGCAAGGGAAGGAGGAAGGCCTCCAAGAAATTGCCAGTCATTTCCAAGGTATTGTATGGCATTGACACCACATCAGAATTGACAATAATATTGTCTGAATTTAAGAGGTTAAAAAGTATCTTGAGTGGAGAATGGATAACAGTGAAGTATAAATTATTGATGTGTTGTTAAAGTGGGTTGGTGATTGGAAGGCACTGTTAAACTTGATTCTAATTTGTGTGAGGATGACTTTGACACCATGAATTCAAGTAATCACATCTAACCCATGTAATTGTGTATAATGTCTGTGATGATGATGAATCTAGAAGATACACTTGGGAGAGAACAGGGCAGTGGACAAAGGACCATTGAGTGCAAAGTTGGTCTGTAGTAATACAGGGGAAGCTCTCTAGGGGGAGGGAGGCATCATAGATAAGGATGTAACTAATTTATTTTTTTCAATCTATCAATCTTTTATACCTTTACCAGGTTAGAGAAATTGGCTGAAGCTTCTCGTAACAGGTCCCTGCTAGAAGCTGAGGCTGAAGCCGAATCCATCCGAGTCAAGGGTGAAGCAGAAGCTTATTCTGTGGAAGCGAAGGCCAGGGCTGAAGCTCTCATTATGCAGCAGAAGGCTGAAGCCCAGAAAGAATACAAGGAAGCTGCTATGTTGGAAATGTTCCTGGAGATCCTGCCAAAGGTACACCATCATGTCTCACACTTCTCATGCAGGTTATGCTTTCACTATTTACATTGAGCCTCTTAAAGACATTTCCCTAATACTGTATGTAGTTTGTAGGTGGATTTAGGATTGAGAAAATGAAGAGAATTTTCTGTTAACTGATATCTTGCTGTATTTTAATGCTCCATCATGTCTTTGGCTTTCATCAGCAACTCTTGCATCATAATCAAATACAGAATATATACTTATTTATAGAGATCAACTTAGGTTTTGTTTAAGATGGGTCAGAGGACCCCTGGTGCTAAAAAATATGGGGCCTTCTCATCTAAATAGTAGAAATTTAATAAATATGTTTTAATTATTTATCAGGAAACAAAATATAGTGTGAAAAACATAATGTTGATGCTTACTTTTGGACTGATAAAAGATTTTTCTCAAGACTGCATACGCTGTTGTAATATTGTTTTTTTTTTAAATACTGTATAATAGGGAATTCCAGCTGGAATGCAGCCTAGAATTTATCTTGGCATATAATCTTATTCCCTTACCCGGTCTTGTGATTGTTTATAATGTACCCCCACAACATATTATCTGCTTTTTTGAGCTATGTGCTTTCTGCTAGGTGCCATAGCTCTCATTACTGAGTTAGCTAATTTTGAGGGACTTGACAGTGGACCATCACAATATGTCTCCCTTGCCCAACCCTCTCATTATACTCATCAGCATCAACAGAAACTTTTCAGAGGTGAAGGTTGTCTTCTGGAAGCAGGAAGTCTAATTCAAGCCAATCTATATTGTCAGTACCTCACTATTTCTGCTGACCTCCATCTTAGAATACAGAGGGTATAGGCCAATCCACAATTTTGCTTCTTCCAACAACTGCTGAGAGACAGGTCACATGTGCTTTGCAATCTTTGGTTTAACAATTGATATATTCTGCTGCCTCCAGATGGCAATCATTGCTTCTAAACTCCCTCTTTGAGAATGATGGTCAAATGGATTATTGTAAGATTAGCCTCAGGTGTTAAGGCAGTAAAGTCTGATAACCAAGTCCCTCAAATTGGCTTGCAGAGTAATGAGACCTGCCTTACTGGGGTCTGAGCTAGAACATGGGATTTCAGATTCAAATTTGCATTTTTGCGCTCAAGAAAATTTTGGTGATTATTGTTATAATTAGTGCTATTTACTTATTTGGGAAGGTGTGTGAAAGATAACTTCATACCTGAAGTTATTTATTCGTATATTTATTGTGGGCTTTGTGATGAGCTCCTGGAGGTCTTTTTTTTTTTTTTAAGATTTTATTCTTTGTTTTCCTGTTCTCTTTTAATTTCTGTGAATGTTGCTAGGTTGCTGCTGAAGTTGCTGCTCCACTTTCACAAGCAAAAAAGTTAACAATGGTGAGCAGCGGCAATTCTGAGATCGGTGCTGCCAAGCTCACAGGAGAGGTTATGGAGATCATCGCTCATGTACCACTGATGGTGAAGAAAATGACTGGTGTGGATGTCACCAAGGTAAGCCCTAGTATCTATCCTCCAGTAGCTTGCTGCTGCTCTGCTCTAATACTTATTGTTATTGTTCATGAAATCAGTGGTTAGTTTGTTATGGAAAGCTCCAGAGGGGTTTTCTTGTACAGATTTTTCTGAAATTAGTTACTTTGTATTTGAAGTTCAATAGAATATCCATATCATAACATGAGATTTTTTAAATTAAATAAATGCATCAGCCTCATCATTATTTTGTTCATTCTACTTCCTTTTTTATATACAGATTTACTATTTAATACATTGTATTAAAACATATCTGCACTGATTCAGTTTGTGTTTTTCTTATATTTGTTTTAACTGATACTTATTTCTGTTGTTCCAGAGTTTATAATATAGGGTGTTAAGTGATTTAGATGATAGGATTTCTTAGTCTTTTAATTTTGTGTTTCCTGTACTGTATAAGACAGTATTGAGGTGTTTTTATTGATGAAACCGTTGCTCTGCAGACAATACCATAATCTGGTGGTGGTAGTAATTTTAATAGGCATTAATATCTGAGTGTACAGATATATGAGGTAAACGTGTGAAATGATAAATAACAAGATGAAATACTGTATGTCTTTGGAGGAGGTGAGAAAGTTTGGGTTGTGATAAATAACTAATTGGAAGGATAATGTATGAAATGAATCATTAATTAAGGAAAGGATGAGCTTTTTACCCATAGTATTACCTTCATAAGTACACTAACAGAAGACAATTTTTTATGCTACTAGGATTTACTATTTTTTATAATTTAAAAAAACTTTTACATCCTTTTCCCACTATGCTGTGGGATGGCTTGTACCAAGAGAAATCACAGTGTCCCTCTTAATTTGTTATCATACTGCGGGAACATCCCCATTAATCGTTGGTGTATGCTGCTTCCTGGTTGCCGATCCTCCTCATTCCTAGTACATTTTTCACGCCTTCTTCCTCATGATCTTCCTTAGTTGTACCTTTGATCTACCTGAGTTATACCATTACAGTATTATTATTATTATTATTCAGTAAGGTTCTGCTTATTGAATGATGTTCATTCCTGAAGAAGTGCTTGTTAACTGAATTCTTATTCAGTGGGTCCCATTTTCCTATGGGATCCCTGTTAAAAACTGAGATGTGTTTCAGCCCAAATAATATTGACCCAAAACCCCCATGATAGAAACTTAAATGCACTTCGGCCAAAAAATCTTTGACACCGTAAGCAATCACTGGTGCGGTACAGGCACGAACACCACAACGAATGTTATATTTCATCTGTGGTGCTGGGAACATCTTGAAGTAGTGGCCACATTGACAGTAAACTATCATATACCATATTCAGGGGTCCCTCGATTAACGAACACAATTGGTTCCACAGAGTCGTTCGTTAACCAAAAATTTTGTTAAACTGAATCTATTATTTCAATGGGATATTGGGTAATTGGTTCCAACTCACAGAAAAAGTACATACAAAGTACTGTATACCGATAATAGAATTAACAAAACATTAAATATAAACTAGATACAGTGCTGTACGGTACAGTATACTGTAGTAATAAATAAAAAACAATAGAATACTATATTTTAACTTACTTTGAGATGTGTATGTCATATTCCCGGCAGCTTTGTTTACATATCAAACGGTTACCGGTAAATGTAGAGGCAGTCAATGATGACATGCCATATTCTTTACAGAGTGCATTGGTTCTAATGCCTTCTTCATGTTTCATAATAATTTCTGCACTATATTATCAATATGTGAACTAAATTTCAGAATGACCAATAATTTTAATGTAAAAATGTACAAATACTCAAGAGACCAACAAACTAGATGTTCACTCCACTGTAAACAAAGTTAAACTGAGAAGCATTGGTGGGTGATTCGATCAGCTGATTGGCACACAAAAACTGTTCCCTGTACTGTATACAGTGAACCCTCACTTTACGCGGTCAATTGAACCCACGGTGGCCCGCGTAAAGCGAGAAACGCGTAAAGTGAACAACATAACATATGGGATTAAATGAAATAGAGACCAGCTGACCCCCAAACTCCACTTTTTCCGACACAATACCTATGTTCTAGTAAAAATAACATCTTAATTTTATGATGGTACATGCACACAATTAATACTTAAGAGAAATAGAGAAATACAGTCGCCAAGTTAATGTCCATTCAAATAATGGACTCCACTCCCTCCCCCTCTTCTCACACTACACTCGCTGGCTCTTCCCTCTCTGAGAAATTTTTAGGGGAAACCACTAGATTTTAAGGTATAGTAATAAATAATACCTCAAACTAAAGTTAGGATAATATAATTGACATTGCTGGATTCCTTGTAAGACGGAATATTTTGAATATAAATGTCATATATTTTGCACAAAAGATAACATATTTACTCAGAGTAAACAAAATACTTACATTAGATCTAAAATTTTTATGTCTAATGCAAAATCTATGATGTTTATATTCAAAATGATCATCAAATTGTAAGAATTCCAGCAATGTAAATTATATTCCGGCCGGATAATTTGTGTGAACTTTATGAGTTAAATAAAAAAATTATACTTCACCGGGGTACACGCACCGTGGAATGTGAGCATCCCGGGTTCTGGCAGGGTACCCGTAAACGTGGAAACGCGGAATGTGGGACCGCGTAAAGTGAGGGTTTACTGTATATTATCAATATGTTCACGAAATTTGAATGACCAATAACTTTAATGTAAAAAATGCAAAAATATTCAAGAGCACAACGTTCTTGATATTTACTCCACTAGAAATGAATGTAAACATAGAACCAATTACTGATTGGCGGACTAGCCGATCAGCTGATGCGCACAACAAAGCGTGTTTCTCGTAAGGCTTTCGTTAATCGAAGTTTTGTTCGTTAATGGAATTGAAAATCCTTATGGGAGCTATTTCGTTAACCAAAATTTCGTTAATTGGACCGTTCGTTAATCGAGGGACCTTTGTACAGTACTTGTTGAAGAAATTTGTGTTTATCATCTCATTCCTTAAATTTGTTAAAAAATATATATTGGTGAAGAAGCAGCATCAGTGATCGTTGTCTCACAGGAGTGTCTGCTTAGCTCATAGTACATGGTGGGTGTAATGTCAACTCACAGGATGTTAATATGGAGATGGTAACTTGAAAATGTATGATTATTACAGAACAGCAATTTATTGCATATTGTATTGTGAAGACAATAGATGTTTAAGGGTACTGTAATTAAATAAGATTTATTTTTAATATTGTATTTCATACATATTGTTCACCAAATGCTGTAATAGCAATCATCCTGTGAGCATTGCGTAATTGTAAATAATGTCAGTCAAGCACTCTACCATACACTGCCAGTCAGGCCACTAAGCTCCCAGATAGTCCAATTTTTCTATACTATATTTACTTGTAAGTTTTATATGGAAACAGAATGCAATGGTATTATGCATCTTTTTATTTATTATTTGTATATACTGTACTCATTAACTTAGAAGCTGAAATGTTGAAGGGTGAACAGGTTGGTTGAAGAAGTGGAGGTTTGAGTCAGCTGGCAGGCATAGGCAGCTACAATCAATAATTTTGGGAGCAAAGTGACCTGTGATACAGAGCACATGTTTTCTTTTTGCACAGCTGCACTCTGTACCACCTCTTTTGAATTTAGTTAGTCATTCTAAGCACAGCATTTCCGGTTAGAATCCACAATGCTCTCTAACTGACAAAAGAATGTTGTAGACACCACACGTGCATAGGTGTTACTGGTCTGCAGTGTGCCCAGTAAACAAATACTTTCACCTCAGATTATAGAAAATCAGGTTATGGGTGCACTTGCCTGTTGCCTGGTGTGCCACTCAGGCAATGACAGAACATAACTACCCTGACCCCACGGATGGTAATGTGAGGCGGTTCACTCATTTTTTCCGCTAAATCAAATATACAAGTTTATACATTTTTATATTCTAAAACCAAATTCTCATTTCCTGGGTATTGTACTTGTTCAGCAGGACCTTACTGTAATATTATTATTAAAATTTTATTCATTCATATCTTTTCTCAATAAAATATGAGGTGCCCAGTATCAAATAAATGCACTCTTACCTTCATTAGCTGCCTTTCATACACTCTTACTCCCTTAAAATATAAGTTCTGCTATAGTGTTCCCTTTCCACAACAAGGCCCCATGGTATTTATTGTATAGTTATATGGCTATTAAAATAAATGTTACATAAGAGAATTCATCTACATTGGAAAGGAAAACGATTTTGACTTGATATTCAACATTTATATCTAATTAGTTTACTGTATTTGATTTGTTTGGGGATTTCTTTTCTTTTTTTATTGTTACTGTTGTTCCTCCTCTCCTTGTGCTGTACGTGGCTGGCAGGCCTGAGTGTAGTTATTGTGTACATATCAGATTAATTGATAGTTTGTATTTTAAATATATTTTGATTTGCATCTGCACATGAACTGCAAAATGGATAGGGTACGAGATTATTGGATATCATAAAAAAACTTGAATATCGCCTACAGAGTTTAGCACCAAAGGATCTGCCACGTACTCTTATGATGAAGCGAATCGATATAGACATTGGTAGTGCTTCTAGTACATCATCGGGGCTGTGATCTATACGGTATAGAAAGGTAATAAAGAACATAAAGCAAATAGAGAAACACCAAACTCTTACTTTTAATGCACTGATGCATTAATTTAACAATGCCTGCAGTGCTCACCGTGCACATTAAGTCAATCGATATAAAGACTACCGAGTGGACACAAATACTGTACTCAACTTCTTTTTGCTGTTGTTTCACTTATAAATGTTGTCTGTACTTGTACTTTGTACTGTTCATGTGTGTGCTTTTCTTAAAATGGATAATCAGTAATGAGACGTGAGCATTGTGTATACTACTGCTCATTTATTTGTTGTATTTGTTGTAGTACAGTGTGTGGTAAAACTACTTTGTAGTGCATCCCGGTTTTCTTTTGGTTACTTTAATGTACCATCCCTGCTGAGGGTGTTAACTGCTTGTGTTTTGTAAACATGCATACCTAAAAACAGTGATTAGCTTTCATCATTTTGGCTGGATTTAGCAGGGTGACTGAACTTGAGGAAAAATTTTGGGGATGATGAGGTACTCTAGTGTCTCTGTCATAGGTCAGGGTCACAGGAAAGTCATATGTCATTACCTTGTTAGGAGCACAATTTCTGTCTTAATTTAGATCTTTTTATGGATTTTCCATAGATATGTATAACAAGATAAGATACAAAGCATTAAAGTCAAAATCTCGTGTAGAACGTCACTTCCTTCTTAAGGTTGGGGGGAGAATTTTTTATATTTTTTTCAAATGTTAATTTACCAGTCCTGCTGTGAATGTCTTGCCTGTAAGATTAGTGGCTGCGATTTATATGTTTGGCACAAATTTTAATTACCACACAATGGAGGCATGATGCATATCAAACTTTTGTTTAAGTCTCTCCCAACTGAAGATTGTTGGGAGAAGACCTTCTCTTCTACTGTGAAGATTATCTGAAGCATATCTATGAAGCCCTGTGACTGAGATGTGCAAACTACCAAATTGTAGTCTGTGTAAATGTCAAAATCACAGATAAAGGTTGAAATTTGGTCCATAGAAAAGCTTAATTTGCACCTCTTATACAGTAGGTAGTATGAAACTTGGGTATTTTTAAAATCTTTCAAGCCTTTTCCTGCTGTAATCTAGGGTGTGCACACCCACACTTACTAATTCAACCAGGCACCATCGCCATTTATTCCTTCACTCTTACTGCTACAATAAATGTATTCTGCTCAGGTACTTAACCTTCAACAACAACTCCACTGATATCAGTCTGGTTTATCTGTCATTTCACACAATTCAGCATGACCCCAAAAAATCACATGAAGCCATACTCCTGTCTTTTGCACATCTGTTAATTTTGGTATATCTATCCTCCTTCACCCCATCCTTCTTGGTCTTCACTGCTCCCTCCGATCATCCACCTCAGACTTACATACCTTTTTTACCATCCCTTCATTTCTCATTGTCTTAAGTGTATGCATACTATCAGAGAAAGTCCTGATCTAATTTTTGGCCTGCACTTCCTTCACCTCAACATCTCTGTCTAACATGCACCATATTTTATTGCGTGTTCTTATTTAAAATAGAAAATAATAACCTTGATTTATAAAACTGCTCTTGCCACTTCTGTAAGTTTTTTGTACTCACAGGCCCCTGTCCATTGCAAGGAAGCCACCCATCTTCTCATGCAATGCCAGTCAGCAGTCCACAACCACTCATGTGTATGAGTGGTGGGGAGCATAGTTTTCTCAATAATTCTACCACCATAATAATATGCAGCATAATCTGCTTTTTAGTGAAAGTATTGGTAATAACACACAAAACATTGTAAAAGCTGTAAACACAAATGTGACGAAGAGATGTAAACAATAAGTGTGGGAGATGTCTCTGGTTTGCTGTCTTTTTATAAAAGAATTGTGAGTGTGCTAATTGGTTGTGAAAGACTAGATGTACTGTGATTATACATGACATCATAGCAGTCTTACAGCAAGAGCACATAAGGATCAGAGCTCTTTATTGTGTCTGTCTACCTAAGCCACCTTCACTACTGGTGTTCATGAGTCAAAGTACTGTCCATACAAAATGCCTATGTATCCACACCAGTCTTATTGGAGAAGTAAATTCAAGTTAAAATTCTATACCGAGCATATGTTTCTGCCTTCCAACCCACCTTTCTATGTGGTAATGATCACAAACTTGTGGTTAAAGTCAAGAACATTGTTGATTACTTGCACCTTCCAATCATAACTGAGTCCCCAAAAGTGATCTTTAGAAGCAACTGTCACCATGTATGGTAGAAGGCAGTTAGTCATTAAACCACATCAGTGCTAAGAGTAAAGCACTATTTTTAGTGATCTTGCATTTTTAAGGGAAATCTATAACTCTCAGTGTTTATTACTGTATTTGTAAAGCAAGTTTTTTCATTGCTTATTGTATGTTACAAGTGCTAGTGTTTTGATAACGACCCACTTCAATTTACTAACACAGATTTTATGGGGCCAGTGATACTGCCCTCTTTGGCTTAATGAAGAAAACCTGGTTATGTGGTGTGTAACTCAGTGTTCTTAGTTTATTAGGCAGTGTTTTGTGCATTAGATGGGGTATTCAGTCCAAGGGAAGCTCATATTCATGTCCTGATATGAAGTAGGATTTAGAGCTAAATTTTAGGTTGACGTGAGATCATTTACATGAGAACCACATCAAGATGGTTTATCTTACTGGAGTCATGATGACTTACCAGAGCTTAGTCAAGATTTCTTGATAAGTGATGCTTGTTTTTTGTCTCCTTTAATTCATTTATTTACCCATAAATCTAAGTTACCCATCCAATAATATTCAACCAGTGAGAGATATACTCTTAAGGATATACTCAATTGGTAATATGTTGATGCCATCCATGTGATTGTGTTCATTCTCGAGCTGTGATCATAACCTCATTTTACATGCATCATGCACACATACTGATGTGATGTCATGTTTCATTGCCTGATACTTTAAATAGTGATTGATAGTGAATGTTGTTCTGAAACTCTCTTTTAAAGGAGGAGTATGACCTCAGGTCGTAATTATATACCGTATTGAATTAGTCACAGCCAGTTTTCAACTCCTGAAGTTCAGTTCTACAGTATGCAAGTCACATATTGGTAGTCCTGGCCTGGTCATGAAATTGGATTTCATGATTGATCCTTCATTTCTATGTAAGAGTTTGGTCTAGGGTTACAGCTTTTTGTAACAAAGTTTATGTGGTAGGAAGTTTCATGCTACTGTACTATTATTAGTGGAGCTTGGCTGTACTGGGGGATTACTTTCAGTAACTACTTTATTGTATGATGGTGTTGTTTTGTGTTGATATGACAGGCATAATCCCTCAAGTCCGAGATCCTTGGGATCAAGACTAAACTGGTTTTGAGGACTTTCAGGTTTCTTGGGTCTTAGGTCATATATCTGTTATCCTAGATCTACCAGTAGGCTATGTAAATATTTGCTTCCACACTCACACAAACCTTTGTTTTACTTCTTAATTAAACATTTTCAGAAAACATTGTGATATGCACACTTAATATAAAATATCATTAAACAAAATTGTTTTATTTGGTAAAAGTTCCTTCAGAAAACATTGTGATATGCACACTTAATATAAAATATCATTAAACAAAATTGTTTTATTTGGTAAAAGTTCCCAAGACAGGCTTGTGTAAATGCACTTTATATTTGCAAAAGTATTCATAAACACATTTAACCTTTGATTATCTTTATTTACTATATGCATTTGTATAAATAAAATATTAATAATGTGTTCAAATATAGTAGCTTCTGAAATTAATATTGGTAATTTTAGACCAAAGATTTAGGGTAACTTGTGCCAGATGCTACCTGTACAGGTATATTATTTTCTCCTTATAAGCTTTTATACAGTACTGTGTTCTGTTATTTACTTTACAAAACATCTGGTTACCACATGCATTATTAATAATACTGACAAGGAACCATCAAGTCTTCAGAATCCAACCAGAACTGTGACATGATGGTAGCATACTGTAGGATCCCTGTGAGAACAGGTAGCATCTGGCACGAGTTACCCCAAATCTTTGGTCCAAAATTACCAATATTAATTTCAGAAGCTACTATATTTGAACACATTATTAATATTTTATTTATACAAATGAATATAAATAAAGATAATCAAGGTTTTAGGATATTTATTAAATGACACAATAATTGCTTATGAACTTTTGTACTTTGTGCAAATATCTAGCGACACAAGAAGCTGCTGGGAGTCGGGCATAAAAGATCCCAAGATACACTACTGCACTGTACTGTGTAGGCCTACTTAGGGAACTTCCAACTTATAAAAAGACGATGTTTTATGATTATTTTATTTAAAGTGTGTATACAACAATGTTTTCTTTGCATTGTTATTTAAGAAGTAAAACATAGGTTCAGCTGTGTTTGGGGAAGCAAAACTTGACGTAGCCAGGGAAGAAAATGCCCAGCTCTCGGGAATCTCTAGTTTTCTGAGATCTAGTTTTGAGGGTCTGTACCTGTAATACACTACTGTATATATACACTACATAATTTTAGATGGAAATTATTTACTTTTATGTGATTAGGCAAAATTTGAATATCACCAACAGGGGATAATGGATCTTGAATCCGCTAGACCCCCAAGTACCCTAGTAAAGAAGAGAGTTGACGACGACATGCGTGACTCTCTTGACTTGAATTTTTCACTGGACAGTCGCAAGTCAGAAGACACTTGGGTGGATTGAAGGTAAAACTGATACACAGATAATGCACCAATTTTTTTATACCTCACAAGCTTTAGAGTAGGACAGATAGTGGCACCTAAAGCTTGTTTTATTTTTTTTGGCCAAAATTTTGCTTGGCTTATGTTTTAAGTTGATACTGTAAGGTTTCCATTATGTCGGAATAATAACTTTACGATGTTAAATTGCACGCAAGGGAGCTTATGAGGCACGTTCGTGACCGTTAACATTTAGCTTCTTCTCTTTTATTACCAGACTTGGTATAAATTTTCCGTAAAAAAGTTTTATAAAAATAT